ATAGATAGATAGATAGATGATAGATAGATAGATAGATAGATAGATAGATAGATAGATAGATAGATAGATAGATAGATAGACAGACAGATAGACAGACAATAGATATAGATAATATAGATAGATAGATGATAGATAATAGATATAGATAATATAAGATATAGATTGATATATATATATATAGATAGATAGATAGATAGGGAGGGAGGGAGGGAGAGAGAGAGAGAAGGTGGCTACAGAGTCAGGATGAATTAAGGAGGGGGGAAATTGCAGCAGGAGGTAGGGGAGATGTAGACCAAAAAAAAGGAAAACAGAAAGAAGGAAAAAGGAGGTGGACAAAGAGAAGGGAGGGAGGCAAGAAGGAAGGACTGAAAAGAGGAAGGAAGATGAGAGACAAGGGAGGGAGAGAGAAGAACTGAAAGAGGAAGGAAGAAGAGAGAAAAGAGAGGGAGAGAGGGAGGAAGATTGAGAGGGAGGGAGAAAGGACGGAAGGATACTGAAAGAGTAAGGAAGAAGAGAGATGAGAGAGGGAAGAAGGGATGATAAGATGAGAGATAAGGGAGGAAGGAGGGAGGGAGGGAGGGAGGGAGGGAGGAAGAAGAGAGACAAGAGAGGGAGAAAGGGAGGGAGGATACTGAAAGAATAAGGATGAAGAGAGACAAGGGAGGGAGGATAAGAAGAGAGATAAGGGAGGAAGGAGGGAAGGAGGAAGAAGAGACAAGGGAGGGAGGGAGGGAAGAGGGATGCTGAAATAGTAAGGGGGAAGAGAGATAAGGGAGGGAAGGAGGGAAAGCAGGAAGGAAGACACCAGGGGAGAATAGAGAGAAAGAAAAACGAAGGACACAGAATGAGAATGAGCAATCTCATTAATTAATTAATTAATGAGCTGCATTAACCATTACACCGAGAGAAGAAATTAATAAAAGCAGCAGCAGAGCGGGGGGGGAAAACCCACATTCTCAGGCTCCCTTCACCAGCCCTCCCCCTACCTGCCCATCCCCTCCTTCCTGCAAACTCCCCCCACTCCCCCAAACGGCCCTTAGGGTAAAAAAACAAATAAGAAATTAATAAAAGCAGCAGCAGAGCGGGGGGAAAACCCGCATTTAACCAGCCCTCTCCCCCCCCTCCACCAAGGCCCTCCCCAAGGCCCTTTCACAACACCGGGAGGGGGGGGCTTTCCCCTCTTACCTGGCGTCTGGCACAAAGCCGAAGGCACCCCCAGAAAAGGGGGTCTCAAGTGAGGCCCTAAAGCAATGTGGGGCGCATTCTGGGGCGACAGGAGAGGTGGCGGGTGGGGCATCTCCCTGTAGAGCGGAAACGCAAAAGGAGAACATTAAAAGGAGGCAAAAGGAGAAAAACGGAAGATATAGAAACGTCGAAATTCCAGCCTCCTCTCTGTCCTTTTCGGTTGAACACCCCAAGAAAACAAAAATAATTTCCCCAGCTACCGTTATTTCCCTGAAAATAAGAAAGGGTCTTATTTTCTTTTGACACCTCCCCCCCACCGAAATAAGCACTTGGCCTTATTTTCAGGGAGGTCTTATTATTTTGGAGGTGCAGGAGGCGGCTTAATCTCGGCCCGCGGATCAGCTGATCCAGAGAGGGCCGGAAGCTCTGTTTCTGGCGCACTCTCGCCCCTCCTACCGTCACTGGGCCGGCCGCTCTTTTTGTGGCCGCCACTAAGAAAAGGAGCGTGGGAGTTAGGGTTTGCGGGAGCGGCCTCTGGGAGTGCATGTGGAGCCGTTGGGGCATGTTGCCCCCTCCCCCCAGGACATGGCAGGGATCGGCTGCGCAGCCCTTAAGATATTTTCAGGGAGGGTTTATTTTAGCGCATGCGCTCAAAAGCCTGATTGGGCTTATTATCTGAGGAGGTATTATTTTCAGGGAGGTCTTATTATTTTTGAGGTGCAGGAGGCGGCAAGTGTGGTTACCTCATGGCTGCTGCTGTGGCACAATATTTTCGGGGAGGGCTTATTTTACCTCATGAGCTCAAAAGCCTGACTGGGCTTATTATCTGAGGTGGTCTTATTTTCAGGGAGGTTTTATTATTTTTGAGGTGCAGGAGGCAGCCAGCGTGGTTACCTCATGGCTGCTGCTGTGGCGCAATATTTTCAGGGAGGGCTTATTTTACCTCATGAGCTCAAAAGCCCGATTGGGCTTATTATCTGGGGAGGTCTTATTTTTGGGGAAACAGGGTAGGGGTCCACAACTGGCTTTCCCACAGCTTCCCAGCCTTCCTCCACTTTCAAAATGACCCGAATTTGCTTTCCGTGCTCCGTCGTTAGAAAGAGATGGAAGGAAAGCCATTTTATTCCACTGCTTCTGGATCAAATAGGTTAAAAGCTGAGGGGCATTAACCAAGGATACCCTCAAAGGGGCACACAGCGGGGGGCTGCTATCATGCCCTCTTGGCACGGGCCCAGCGGCGTGTCCATTGCTGGTTAGTTAGGGGTGTCTCTCTGCTGAAGAAGATGGGACAAACGTTCCCCTTGATTACGACACCCCACTTTCCATAATAATAATAAAAAATCCTGATTCTACAAACTGGCAGATACTAAATAGCAACAGCACTTATATACCGCTCCACAACGCTTTTACAGCCCTCTCCAAGCAGTTTACAGAGTCAGCCTCTTGCTCCCAACAATCTGGGTCGTCATTTTACCCACCTCGGAAGGGCAGAAGGCTGAGTCAACCTTGAGCCAGTGGGTTAGGATCGAACTGCTGGTAGTGGGCAGAGTTAGCCTGCAATACTGCATTCTAACCACTGGGAGGGAAGGAGGGAGGGAGGGAGGGAGGGAGGGAGGGAG